GCGATCAATGTCTTCTAATCCGATCCTGATTGGAGTAGGAGAAGAAGCCATTGGAATCGCTTCCCGAATAGGTGACTTGGGAGGGGAGCGATCTGTTCGATCCACAGGTTGCAAGGGTGGTGCTGACCGATACACAGGCATGGGTGTGAGCCTGGCATTGTCAGCACCTTCATCTGACGTATAGTCAGTCGAGTCCTCTTCGTCGTCGTCGTCGTCCTCATCATCTTCCGAATCAGAAATGACAACCACTTCGCGAAGGATCTCATCCAGCTGGTCACGACCAGTCTCTTCATCTCCCCGCCACTTGACGAGGATGTCGAGACACAGAGATTCTACAGTTTTCCGAGCGTTCTGCCATGTTGTTTCTTTCAGAAGCAGGTCATACCGCGTATGAGTGTGCCTTATATGAGCCAGAACAGCCAGCTGGACCCTGCGGGATAGTGCAATCTCTTCCGAGAACCCGACGGGATGCTCGGATCGATTAGCTGAGCCCTAAGGAAGAGATTATTGTTCGTTATGTGTCCTCGTTTTGAATATGGGAAAGGGGAGACGGGAGACTAGGAAGAAGGAGAAATTACAAACCCGAGTGAATGAGTGCTCAATAATCATCTGACGGTCAGTATTGGGAATCCGTGGAAACAAGTCTCTGATAGCGGCATCAACCTGAGCATGGTAGGCCCTCTGAGATTCCGGAATGGGCTCAGGCCCTGCGTCTGTTACCGGAACGGCGTGATGAGACGAGCCACCAAGGCTCTCTTTGGCCTCCTCAACGATGACTTGCCTGATATGATGGCCAACTCGATGGACCTGGTTGGAGAGGATGGTTTCATCGAGACTTCTGGCATTCTTTAAGAAAAAAAACGCAAGAAAGCGCTATGGTTAGATGGATGCTTTACTGGCAAAAACGCAACCGGGATTGTAAACAAACCGAGACGATGAAAATCATGGCATCTTTTTCGCGGGATATTTCTTTGCAGGCCGCAGTCAACTTTGGATTGCCGATGGGGACAAACTCGAACCCTGGCGGCGGGGTCTTTTCGGTGGTAATCTGTGGACAAAATGAGCATCTCTTCGCCAGAGCCAGAAGAGACGACTGTATGTAAAGTTTGGATGTGGCGCCATCGAAGCGTACCTGATACTCGAGCTTCTTCTTCTTCTCCTTGTTCTCAACTAGCTCGAAGTAAGAGTGGTGCTTGGATTTTGGCAGCGATGGCTTGGCCTTGAAAGTGTCAGGCGGAGGCGAGTAGGGATGATGATATTGAGACCTTTGCGATCTCTTGTGGCGTTCTTTGGGGCCAGAGGCTGCCGCCGAGACCAAGCCGCGGCGTCCTCTTCCCATCTTCTTTTTTTTTTTTGGCCTTTTCTTTTTCTTCGGTGACTGTCAAACACAATTATAATATCATAACGCAGTGTTGTAGTGATCCACAAACAGAGGTACTATTAGCATAGCAAAAAGGCACAGTCGACCAGCTCAGCACGCGCTCACAGCTGCATCAACAGCCCGATGAGATCTTGCATAAATCTCGCTCACTGGGCGGGAGCAGCAGCAAGAGGGGTAGCCTGGCCCTGGGCGAAACAGCACACAAACAGATGGGAGCGACCAGGTGGAAAACTAGATGCGTGGGTCCCGCGCGAATGGGCAGAGAAGAGCCCTACAGCGACTGCTATCAGTTGCAAGGCGCCAGTTCCCAGTACCAGCAGACGCGTGAGGTGGGCCGTCGCAATATAGAATCAGCCGCTTTGAGAGGCACCGCCGCAAGCTGGTTGGGCTTCGACTGATCAGGTGCTGGAGCCAGATGCGTGACCATCTGGCAGTTGGACGCGAGACTCTCTCATGGTGTTGGGCAGTTTGAGGCCTGTGTTACATAATGCACGTTGCAGCGGAAGCTCCGGGAAAACGATATTCCCCTTCCGATAGGCGTTCGCATATTTGGGTAGCAGCGATAAGCAAGATTGCGCAAGTGCTCCCGCAGAATAAGTGCCATTGGCCTCTACAAAGATGATGAGTAAAGGCACATGTAGTATTTCATGGACTTTTTTGGGAGGGAGATTATTGAGAAGTATTCACCTAGGCTGATATAGATGGGAATAAAAATCGATATAGAAAAGAAGGTTCATCGTAGCCCTGCGTAACAGCAGCTGATTTACAGACAGCACTGCACTAGGTATGCTGCTCTGTAGACGCCTACTGTGAACAAAGGTGCCTACCTACTCACCACTCAGACATCGACGAATAATGAGAGCTGACAGATGCTACTTGGGAATATGGAATACAGCTATGAACAAAGAAACAAGGCGGACAGCCATGGTGAAATCACAAAGCACTGCCATGGCGACTTTCTCATTACACATTTCCTAAAACGGAAAGCCATTCGAAAATAAGACTGACAGCCGGACGGGACGGGTTATGTCATGATCCGCACGCCATCCCACTATCCCGGCACTGCCACGAAACGCTCGAGGACCCGCGGCTGCCGAATCAGCGGGAACCGGCATGATTGGATACTCCAGAAAACCGATGGATCAAATGTTTAGCCACCGGAGCATTATTCAAGATTCTCTGTGTTGCTTGAAAAAACTTCGTGGTGGTCTCTATGGAGATGGAGATTTGGCGGAAATAGACGGGTATATCACCAATGGTCAAACAAACATCTGCTCTGCCATGAAACCAACAGTGCATCGCCGTGTAAGTGGAACTAGGAATTTGCCTCACATGTCGTCGCAGAGTCAAAATACAAAAATAGAAACATCACACGTGTTCTGTCGCATCCTGGCCTTACGGGTTTCAGCTGAACAGGTATAACCGCAAGTGATATGCGCTGCCACCACGTAAAGAGTAGGTACCTACCTTGTGTGAGAATGCCGCGTCCAGCATTGAGATTAAAGCATCGCTAGAGAAGCAGCGGCGAGGCGTTCTACTGGCTCTGTCAATGCTTCTTGGAGCATCTCATACGAGGCGCTCCGCCATTGAAGGATCTCAGGAGCAGCTCACTGCCGACTCAGCCGCTGCCCAGTAGCCTTGGATCCTGACTTTCCGGCAAGACGGCACTTAATCGCCAGAAAACTTAGGAAAGGGGATTCATGTTTCTAGGTACAAAATGCACGGTATTGAGGTAGGGCACTAGGTACTGAGTGCTCCGTGCTCCGCCGCAGTATTCCATAGGTACCTGTGTAATTATTCGCATGGTGCGGCTTAGATGTCGCTACGTAGACGGGATCCAAGCCACGGCGGCGACAGGCCTGAAGCTGAATCGTGGAAGAGATTGCTTTCTCTGGACCAAGCCTTGGCGATGAGATGAACCGGCTTTGACGGCTGCGACGAGACGACACTCTCTGAATTGGTGATGTTGGAAATCGGCATCGCTGCCTGATGCTGCGTTGGCCGACGAAACAATAATGGCACGTCGAGCCGATCTCGTTTCAACGGGCAACGATTCACCAATGAACCGACCTTGGTAATGCTCGACAGGAGTTCGGCTTTGGAGACGAGCGCCACGAGCCAATCAAACGAGCGCAGCTCTGACCAGCGAATCGCCGGCGTGCTGTGAAACACTGCCTCCGCCTCTCCCAGATAAACGAAAGCGAGGGAGAAGCATCACGTGATGGGCATCGTGATCCCAGCCATCTCGGAGACCGAAGGGTGCCATCCTCTTCCAGCAGGATTCCAGTAATTTGTTGGATAGGCTCTGAACTCTGAGAAGCGTGGTGCACAGCCACCACATTGTGGGGAGATGGTCTCGCCAGTCGATGGACTTTGAGGGTACGTTAGCCGGCACCCAAGGTTTGCAGAAGCGCCTAGTCGAATTCGCGCCTCGGAGTTACTGGCGCCAAGTATCCGCAAGGTATCTCTAGCTGCTCAACCATTGGCCTTCAAGAGGAGTGATTACGAACCGTCGGGTTGTTGAGTAGCCCGAAGGAGCGATACATGGTTGAGTCGGGCTACAATAAAGACTGCACTATCGACGCCTCGCCAGCAAATCGACGGCGACTAGCACAAGCGAATCGGCCCCGACAAAGTCAAAAGGGAGTCGGCAAGGAAGCTTGCTTAGTTCAGTCTTTGTTCTCTTCCCAGGCAATGCATGCAGCTCGTAAGTACGAAGAACAGAAGCTGAACCACTTGCCATGGCGTCTCTCTAGATCTGCCGTGGAGTCTCTCTAGCAACAAGTACCCAAGGTATTCCACATCTACCGTGTAAAAATAAGTGATGGACAGATCTCCCTCCAGGAAGATAACGAGATGTAATATTCTTCTTTTTTTTCGGGAGAGTCGTCGTAAACAACTGCTGCTCCGGGCCTAACAGCAATCAAATCCTCGTACTGGCGAGAGCTAAAAGGCTTGGCCTCGCGGCCGCTGCGTCGTGTCGTTCGTCAGCCCTGCCCATCTCCGAGGCTATCGTGCTGTCTCTGCCAGCGGCTCGGTTGGCGCACCCGGCGAAGGCAGCTTTGGATTGGATCGTGGCCGGCGCTCTGCTGGCTGTCGAGCTCAAAGCGCCACTCTGGATGGAGCAGAGCCTGTGTCCGGAGCGTATAGCTGGCGGGACGGGCGTCGTCATCGCTCAGGCAATGGAGGCAGCTGCTAGCCCAAAGGTGCGAGGGCTGCAAAAGATCCGTCGCGCGCTTGCACCAAACAGGCCAGCGGGCTGCGCCTAGTGGTTGCGCCGCTGTGGCTGCCCGCCGAGCGTCTGCAACGGCGCTCACTGCATTAAATGCTGAGGGCCAAAAGGCTTACGCGTCCACGGCCCCATTCGTGCTGGCACCCCCGCCGCATCCCTGCACCCCTCCCCGACGCCAGCAGAGACCAAGGGGCCTCCCCTAAAGCGGTCCCTTCCAGCGCTGTGCCCAGTATGGAGGCTGTCCACTGAGTGCTGGCGCCTTGTTCTCTGCCCCCAGTCTCCAAGGCACCCATCCAGCACGTTCCACCCTCACCCATATTATCGCCGCTCCCCCAAGCCCAATCCGCCAGGCGTCACTTTTTCTTTCTGCCCTGCAAATAATTCCCAACCATTTTCAACTCTCCGCCATCTCGAGCATCTACCTATCTGGCTCTTGTTCACGAACGGATAAGCGAAATACAATTACTACTAGTATTATAGCTTTTCCCACTGTGCTCTTTGAAACAAACCATCTCGACGACCTCCATCTTGGCATCGTCAACCCGGATCGAGTCGAATCCATAACCGCCAGATCTCGCTTCGTATCGAACACATCCCGCCGCAATGTCGGGCCCCAATAACGTCGACATCGACGCGCTGCTGGATCTATCCGAGTACGATGGAATCCCCAGCTACAACTCGCCGTCGCTGTCTCCCTCCACCACCTCCAAGCCCACCTTCGCCAGCCCGGTCACCACCGCCGTGACGACGCCTTCAATGACGACGACGCAGGCTCTGAGCGGGCCCAGCCACAACTATGACATGTATCGTCAGCAGACGGGCTTTGTCCCCGGCGCCATCGCAAACACTATGGCTGTCAACGAATCGAGCAACGCGGGATATCAGGACTTTGGTAGCCTCGACTATCTGACTGGCTTCCCTTCAGAGAACGACATGTTCGACTTCAACACCTCGCCGTCGCAGGCTACCCTGGGAGCGTCGGACATGATGGACTTTGGCTCACCGGCCGATTCTCAACTTTTCCCGACCGTCAACCCCAGCAACATCGAGCAGGACTCGGCGCTTGCTTCTCCCAGCCTGTCCAGCCAAGCCAGCGGTGTCGGCCGCCTATGGCCCGGTGCGCACTCGCAGGCCGCCATGGCCAAGGCTCATGCTCAGCAGAGGCAGCAGCAGCACATTATCCAGCAACAGCAGGCTCAGCGCCAGCCCATGCAAACCAAGGCCCGTGCCGGCAAGGCGCCTCAGCCCAGCGACCCCATTGTTGAGCAGAAGATTACTCAGCTTCTGAACTCGATGCGGGCTAAGCCTGCTCCTCCGCCCTCCGACGCCTCCTCTCCCATGGCCAACCTCAACCGCGCTAAGAAGGATGATGAGGAGATGGACGAAGATGAGCGCCTTTTGGCAAGCGAAGAGGGCAAGAAACTCAGCAGCAAAGAGCGCAGACAGCTGCGCAACAAGGTCTCTGCCCGTGCTTTCCGATCAAGAAGAAAGGGTAAGATGCTTGTTATCATTCCGCCACTCCGAGATATATTTGCTAACATGCTACAGAGTACATCTCTCAGCTTGAGTCCGAGGTTGCTGGCAAGGTGCAGGACAACAATGACCTGCGTTCCCAGAACCGCGCTCTGCTCGAAGAGAACAAGCGCCTTTCTGATCTCACTCGCATGCTCCTTTCCTCCACTGCATTCTCCAGCTTCCTGGACCACCTCAGCGCAAATCCCTCTGTTGCTGCCCCGGCACAGGTCAAGCCAGAGCCCCAGCCATCGCCAGAGCAGCGCTCAGTCAAGGATGTCAACCCTTACGGATCGCAGTCCTCTCAGCATCAAATTGGCATGGCCATGATTCCCGAGCAGAACGTTGATTTCTCGCTTATCGGCAATGGCTTCAACTTCCAGCCCCGAGTGTTTGTTGTGGAGACCTCCGAGGTTCCCTCTCCCATCGAATCCAGCATCCTGTCTGGCAAGGTACCCAGCGTGATTGAGCAGACTTTCCAGTCTGAAGACACAAAGGTCGAGGTGCCTGTGATTGAGCGACCTGTTGAGCAGACTCCAGTCGCCCAGTCCGAGACAGGACCTGTCGATGAGGAATTTGAGGCCGACCCCGAGTTTGCTCTCTACCACTCGGAGCCTGCATCAACCATCTCCGAGTCCAGCGAGGTGGACACTGAGAGTCTTTCACACGTTGACATCTTCGGTGGCATTGAGACCGAGAAAATGCTGTCTCGATTTGAACTTGTGGATGCCACCGAAGAGGAAGCCAGCGCTGCGATTGCCATGGCCCGAGTACAAAGCATAAGTGCCAGCATGGAGGCAGTGACATCAAGATTAGAGATCTTGACTATGGACCTTTGAAGAGAAAAAAAAACAAGAAACAAAGAAACAAAGAAAAAAATTCTTACCACACGGTCTACTATAATTAGCGACTTCTCTTTTCTTTATCATGGCTTCTGTTTTTTCTACTTATTTCAAGGCTGGAATGTGCATACTATGGGCCAGGCAGCGGTATACGGAGTTTTCTTCTTTCTATTATGGGGTCATAACGGATGGGTTTCACACATGGCAATGTTGCTTCTTGACTCTTTTTCTTCTTCCCTTTGTCATATTTTTTTTTGCAGAAGAGGCAGCTTATCCTCTCTGATTTATTCTTATTCATGGAGCTGGCCGGAAAACAGCGGCAAGGGCTTTTCCTTTTTGTTATTTTATGTTTGACTTTATATATCTAAATAGACGGGAGGAGGGGGAAGAAATATTCCACTCGGTCAGTGGCTCAGCAGACAAGAAATGCCAAAACCTTTTCATGAATATTCATCTCTAATTTCTTTTGACAATGATGCTTGTGTGATATGTATAAATTTGTAGAAACTCGTTGGACATCATACTAAGTTTCAAATATTACATGATGTTTGACACAAGGAAAGATGTCGTCAATTGAACTGATTAGGAGTGTTTTCATTCATTCATCCATCGTATGTTTTAGCTTTCTTCATTAATCATTATACACGTTCTTTTGAACAAGACTATCTCGCCAATATTATTGCACCGCAAACACCTCCTCCTCCGCCCCTTCAACATCCCACCCCTCCCCATCCATCAGCCCATGCACATAACACTCTCCAACAAGCACCCACCTCTCTTCACCATCACCACCAACGCTAACCTTCCTCAGCAGAAAGGGGACCTTGCCGCCGCGCAGCACAACCACGACGTCGCCAGTCTGCAGCGCATCGGGTCCAAGCACAAAGTATCCCCTGCGGGTGACTGCGAAGCGGCGGTAGCGAGTAACCAGCACGGCCTCGTGGCTCCATTTGAAGGGGTCGCCGGTGAGGGAGAGGTCGTGGATGGCGGCGTGGACGGGGATGGGTTTGCGGGAGGAGGAGGGGGAGGAAGGGGAGGAGGACATGGAGTTTGCGCGCTCGTAAAAGGACGACATTGTGGTTGTGCTGCTGGCGGGGCTGCTGATGGATCTGGATGAGGATGCGGATAGAGGGAATGTCTGGGATGGCGATGGCGTAGATAAAGGAGAAGAAATTGCGTAGCGGACGAGGTAGGCTGCTGCGCTGGTGAGCCATTCTTCGGAGGGGATGGAGGAATAGGGGCGCGAGCGGTCGATGCCCGTGCAGGCGTTGGTGAGGGTCTGGATGAAGGCGAAGAAGGCGGATTTGCGATGATCTTGTGGAGGAGAAGATGCGGAAGATGAAGATACGGGTTTGAAAGGTGTCGTTCCTCTTGTTGCTGGGGAGGGGATTTTCTTGAGGAAAGGGGGGTATACGATGTTGAGGTTGAATGTCCGGTAGCCGCAGATGCGCCTCCATAGAACCTCCATGACGTGCATGCGAGGACCGTTGCTCTGGTCGAGTTGCGTCCATCGTCGTTGAGGCATTAGACGTCCATGCTGCTGCAGCTGGGCGCTGTCTGAGTCACGACGGCCATTGCTATTCCTGCTTGGAGCGCGCGTTGTTGCGTTAACCCCCTGAGGAGGCTGAGCAGACCCATCCTCATCGTGTGGCCCCTCATCCATTTCATTGCTGCCATTGCTGCCTCCCCAATTCCTGCTCCTCCTGCCGCCTTGCCTTTTATCCGGCCTCACCTGAAACGCCGTCCCGTAAATAGTCCACGAAGTCCTCTCCACGACATCGACCCTCACGCCGCGAATGCGCATCACGCGCGAGGCTTCGTCAATGGTCAGGTCCGGCTTCGTGTCTCCCGACGCGCGGTGCGGCACCGTCGGCGAGCCGAGGATGTGAATCGGCAGATGTCGCCAGTCCGGCGCCCAGGACGGCAACTCTAAATCACTGTTGGCCCAAGACGCCCTCCGCTTCATGAGCGGCTTGCCGTGGTGCGCCGCGGAGAGGGCGACGAGGTCTTTGGCGCCGCGGAGGGCTCGCACGGCGACGTCGATGTAGATGTCCCTGACACTCTTGGAGTAGTCCACAGTGAGGCCTTGCAGCTCCTTGCCGGCTTTGCTGATGGAGTAGTGGCCCAGGAAGGCGTAGATGTGGTCCCGGGGGTCGTTTCCGAGTAGATGTCTGGCTCTGTGGAGCTCGTACGCAAAGTTGCCGCGGTTGTGGTCGTGGTCGTATTCTGTGTCTGGCTCGACGAAGCGCTTGTGCAGGTAGCGGATGCTGGAGGTGTTGAGGAGAAACCGGGTGCGGAGGTGGTAGTATCTCTCGTTGAGGACGGCTGCGACGTGAGAGAGTGTGTCCCAGTCCATTTCTGTATCGCCCCAGTACAGCGTCGCGGGGGCGTTTGTTCCAATTTCTTGGACGATCCATATTCGTTGAAACTGATCTCCCAGCGTCAGCAGATGTCCTCTTATTATATCAACTTTACAGCCCTTTGTAGGCTCTGCTCTTGGGCATGAGCGTTTTCAGTAAGGGGAAGGGGGAGCTTGTTTATATAGAGAGACTTACCCAGGGCAGCTTTGTCAGTTTTGCCAGAGGCACCCAAGGCTCAGAACTTTGCAGCGCCAGATTCTCCTCATGAGCGAGCTTAAACTCCTCATGGGCCTTTTCATCCCTGAACACGCCGTCAAGATGGCGAATCGTCTGTCCCGCTTCTTCAGCAACGCCATCGGGATCTCTTCCCAGCCACACAAGGACTCTTTTCGCATTCCTATATACCAGATTCATGAGCTTCACCTGCTGGCTGCGCTCGGGTATATCGTCCTGGTTGATGCAGACCTGGTCAGCCCACAGCCGCCGCGGCTGGTCTGGCAACCGCACCCGATTCAGCGCATCGTATATGCTCTGCGTGAGAGGCAGGACGGCGCCATCGCAAGTGAGCTCGTACTGCCGGCTGCCGGAGCCCCAGACGTACGATATGGCTTCGTAGGGGGGAAGTTGCCCAATGTCTGCTGAGGCTAGGCTTCCAAGCTGGAGGCTCCCCACCAGAGGGTCAGAGCCGGAGCCTGGCTGGAGGACAAGAAAGCGAACGCTGTGGTCGTCACTCAGGGGCTTGTAGACAAATAGCTTCCCTCTTGAGTTGCCGACATGAGACTTCTCAAGCGGGCGTGAGCGATTGCTGTCCATGATTGATGGCTGCAATTTGAGGCCGCGACGCTTGACGGGCTTCTTTGCGTGCAGAGAGAAGACAAGGTGTGATTGAGGCTGAGCAACTCGCCCATACGGCTTGAAATCAGCAACAGTCTCCGAGTTTTCAAGGTCGCTGCATGGAAGACGCCTGGTTCTGCCCCCAAGTAAGTCGCGCCGCGAATGCAGAGTCAGAGTCGAAGAAACCGACAAGCTGCCGTGACCCCTTACAAAGCGAGGAAAATGCATGCTTTGGCCATCCTCTACGAACGTTACGACGGCCATGATCGCGGGTTCAGTATTAGTGCCGCGCTATGCATGGATGTGGAGAGCTACCGGTTCCGCCTAACAGCTGCTGCAGCTGCATGTCACGGCGTTGACTCACTGATGCTGATCTGACCCTGCACCAATTAATGGAGTGTTGGGCCAGGGGTGTTCCTTTTGTAGCATCGAGAGTGGATGTGTTGGCAATGTTTCCAATTTTTGATCAAGGTTTATTAAAGGTAGGTTATGTAGCATAAGCATGTCAAAAGGGACAGAAACAACACTTCAGTTTTGCCCTTTGGTCTGACGGACAATATTACCTAAGACTTGTTTTCATGATCTGAAAACATAAAAGTGAAGCAAATGTGGGATATCATGTATTAGTCTCGCCAGATCTCGTCTCGCCTCGCCTCGTCTCGTTCCGCCTCACGGCAGTTTCTAAACAGTTTCGTGAATTTTCACCGGCTGCACGCCTGTTAGACTAATTTCGTCGTCGTCCAAATTCCGGCTCAGATTCGTTGTCCCGATATCAGCAGATTCTATTGGAGACTCGCCCGATCCATCTCTCAACTCCCAGCTGCCGACCCGTTCATGCTGCACACCGCGGTCGGTAACGGTGACATCAGCATCACCAGCTCTCTTATCTGATCCTCTGAAGCCGCCTGGAGAGCTGCTACGTACACCGGGCTTGGATCGACGTGAAAAAGAGACGAATCCAAACCAGTTGAGAACACCTATAGCAAGGAGAGCCACGGCCAGCGTCACCATGGCACCGATGAGACCGCCTAAAGCTGGACTCAATGAGCAGCTTTTGCTGGTAGATGGAGGATCCGAGGGAGACTCGTTGGCGCCTGTGTTGCACCAAGGAGCAAAGACTGCTCGACATGTGGTGCACCATTGCATAGAGTCCTGAGTGAAATTTTGGAGCTGACCCAAAAAGGAGGTATAAGGAATCATCTGGCTTTCAAAACCCATTGAAGTGAGCGGATAGGCCGAAAATGGCTCGCCAAGATCCGCATTAGCTCGGTATGAGAACCGAAGCATGAAATCCTGAGGCGAAGGCATTGCGTCGACGTCGCCTGGATTTGAGCCGACCAATTCAAAAATCATGGCCGAGCCAGGATTTGGAAGCGTGGAGAATGGGCCAGAGAGTAGGTTGTCCTCAGAATAGAGGCCTATGAGGGAGAAGAAGGCCAGCATGGGCTCGTGAGAACCAAACATGAGTGTCAGTGGTGTGCCAACTCCTATGCTGGTAGCACTGAGCGAGCTTGCAATCAGCATGGCAAGGGTCTGTCCAGCAATGGTAGAGACGTTGTTGTAGTTGAATGTTGGAGCATCTTTTAAAACGTCTCCATTCTTCGTACGCTCCAATTCAAAGGCATTGGCTCTGAGTATATCGATGGTTTCGTTGGCAAATCCCAACCCAGCAGTGACAGTGGCGTTGTGAGTATTCATGTAATTTACATACTCGTATATGTCATAGGCGTTCCAGTAACTCACTGAGGCGTTGGGTACGGTGCCCTTGAGAGGAGGCGTGGCAAAGAGGGACTTGTAGAAGCTTTGAGTTGACCTAAACCGTCCCATAGGATCGTCCATCTTTATCGCGTGTACGTTGCTATCCCAAGCCCAGCATTGGGCAGTACCTTGGATGCTATGTTAAGCCTCGTGTTAGCGTATAAGTTGTAAAACGTCATCGCCTTCAAAAAGCCAGGCCAACTCACAAAACTGAAGAAGGGTCTGTCAATGACAGAGTCTCAATATTGGGATACTGATAACCTCCCAAAGGATAGTCAATCAGATCTGGGCTAACAAAGAGATCTTGGGCCACCTGTCGACCTCCAGCAAGGTTGTTGAAAGTGTTGGGACTGGGGGGATACAAGCCCTGTAGGAAAGCCATGGCACCCCCAGAAACCCATTCATCTGTCGTCGACAAGACGGTGAGCTGATCATTGTTGATGGCATCCGTAGCTATTCCCTGAATCTTTGTGTTCCCCGTTGTTAAATTGGAAAAAGTAGTGGCATTACGACTGCCCAGGTAACGGTGTCGAAAAGCACTTCCTTGCCTCCACATTTGACGGGCTCCTGTGGGGGTAAGAATGTTGTCCAAGCCGCCAAAAGTGGGAGTCTTTTCTCCATGGTTGATATATGCAACGGCTGCCCAAACTTTGGCGTTGAGATTGGCACTGGGTTGCGCCGAGACACCGAGACACAGCAGCAAGATTGGAAGCAAGATTGACACAATTGGCGGTTTCATAGGCCAAAAGACGCCGCAGCTTGAACGAGAGGCCATATTGATATACTGCCTATTGGTAGCTCAGCTCTATATCATCAAGCGAAAGTGTAGCTCTTCAAAATGGGATTATGAGCTGTTAGAGGATGGGATGAAGCAGCACAAGAAGAAGCTGATTCTAAGCGAACGTGTAAGTGGATAGTGAAAAAAGAAAGAAAGGTCCCATGCCGGCCAGAATGATGGTAGCCATGGGGAATGGATGGGGCCTGACCAAAGGATATCTAGACTCGAAGGCTGCCAGAGTTTCCGGCTGGATTAGAGCTGGGAATTCCAGTTCACCAATTGTCGTGAGGAACAGGTCAGCCACCCATCGAATGGTGTAGTCAGAGTTGACATGTTGACACCTGCACGGGCACATGCGTTACCGAGCAATCCCTGGAGAAGGACCAAATAGCGCATCAATCACAAATCAACCCGCACGAGGCTAGCGGAGCTGCTGCGATAGAAGCAGCTTAGAACTGAAGCCAAAATCCACTCTTGGATGGTTCATGGCGAATCCTGGAGCAGCTTCTTGCGGCAGCATCCGCCCATTTTGGCGGGTGGCTGGATGTCGTTCGTGCTGGCGGACGACACGGGAGTAGCACCAAGGTCTAAACGTTGTCTGATGGAGGTGAGGGGCAATGTGACAGGCACTTGAAGCATGAGCTCGACGAGCTTGCCTGAAGCTTAATTGTGTCCCAGACTTCCGATCCTGTGGTTGCGTTGGTGCTGGATGTTTGCGGCCAAGCTCTGCGACTAGTGGAGTGGTAGGTTCAACTTTGACGCCCATGACGAGAGGCTTTGGGAAGTGTCCTTTGGTGACGTCACGTCAAGCTTTGAGATGGAAAGATAGCCATGCCTGATTTCTGTTTCTCCAATGGCAAGATATGCTTGATGAAAAATTGGACGGGGAAAAAATTACCGAACAAGTGCATGCCTCATCTCTTGTGTGCAGTGTTAGTGGTGGGTATATGTGAATATTCAAGTTGATAGAGGCATGCTTCAGCACATTTCAGTATCATCTCTACAACTCATTACAGCATCGCCATCAACCCAAATAATGTCACCAGTCAGTCTATTCTCGGTGCATAGCACAATGCTTTTAACGAAGCTGCTCACAATTATCCCTTCCTTACTGGTCTTGGTAGGTGGTACAGAGAGCCCCGCATACCGGCCCATAGCGCCAGGCTTTATAATCTACAATATCTCCCCCCACCGTCGCCATAGGAAGCGGATCACCGCATTCTAACCTGCACTGGTTCTATGGTCTAGTGGCTATGACTGCGGATTCTGATTCCGCCAGCGAGGGTTCGATTCCCTCTAGAACCTACTTTTTGCGTTTTGCGGCCTGTTTTTGGGGATTTGCCAGATGGCTTTGCGAGCGGTCTTGGTGCATATACTTTTTTTTCTTGGCCATGGTACAGTGCGAGAGTCCCAATCACAAAACTGCTTCTTATTCTCTTTCTTTTGCTTTGAGCCGGTTGATTCATCGTCTTTTGACAAACAGCGGCTAACATGAGAGCGTCTGGTTATGATATACATACAAAGTACATGTGTCTACTTTTTCGAGTTCCTTTGGCTTTAATTTCTTTGACAGCAACTTTTCCATTTCTTCTTTTCTTCCATCGCTGCTTTTATGTCTTTGAGGCTAAAGGCGTTGTGATGCCTCCATTGCGTGGTACTCGTGTTCTTATGTCTTTTCGCCAGGCAGTAGTTGATGCATACTGCACGCTCTGTTCCCTGCAACAAGAGAATCAAATACTGAAGCAAGAGCATGGTATGATTGCCTTCATTCAGCATCTTTTTGCTTGCCTCTCTTTGCTACAGTTATTAATGAATTTCGTACGTGGTTGATCATCCTAGATACGCGTATTTTCCCAACCGAGTGCCATTCTTGAGTGGTGATGTAAGACTACATGAATAGAGAAGGCGTGTTCCTCTGTAATGAGCAGGGCCACAGACTCTGCAGTATGCATCCGAGACAGCAGACGCCAAAGCCTTTATTTATGTCCAATTGTTTACACCCGATAGAAGCAAACCATGGCTATAACTTGCCATTACGATTGTCATGCTGTTTGCTTCCTAGTTGGGCCAGTCTATCTGCTTGTTTCAATCAAGATTTTCTCCTAGACTAGGATCTTATCAATCTGCAAAACTTCCCTGATCTGGACAAGCGCGGTATGCACTTTTGCCTGAGATAAACCAATCTCTACCAAGCTGCCCTTTTTTGGCAATTCATCGTCCCAGGCTACTTGTATCAAGATTGATGGCCAGATTAGTACATGCACATCTTGCTACATATATTCACTCTCTGCCTGCTCGCGTATCTGCATCTCTCATAGTGCTGCTATGGGTAGTTGGAAATAAAAATGCGACCTTTACTATTCCGCATCTCAAGCCAAGTTTTCAACTGTAATACTACGGTAGCATGCGCATGCTAGAATGGATGCTACAAGAATCAAGAGAAGATCATCCTCACAGCTTTTCGTTTGTGTGGGGGCGCAGATGCGGGCCCACTTATCCGAGCATCTTTGGCTTTTCCCTTGCATTAGAAGGGCGAGGCCATTGGACACTGGATTCAGCTGATCTGGGAGGCCGAAAATCAGGCTTTGCGAGCGCTGGCCACGTGCTCCGCTCAAACAGACGCTGCTGCTCTTTTTGCCGCAAAAGAGGCTCTGCGTATTCCAAAGCTTTGAGGTCCAAGATATTAATCTTGGAACTCAAATTACCAGTAGTACAAGAATACAGATAGCAGATCTCATCTCGAACTGGCCTCTGATCGTCGAGATAAGGGCACACTGCGCCGACCGCCTAGTCCCTCGGCCGCATCCCTGCTCAGTGCATGCACTTAGCGCTCGAGTGGCCTGACGCTCAGGTGTTATGAGCCCACTGAACGCTTACATCGAGCCGCCTGCATCCGCTGTACAGCGTGTTTCAGCGGTTGGTCGCTGCCGTAGCCCTTCGGCTCCCGCCAGGAATTTCTCCGCAAAAAGCGACGACGACTCCAAGTTCAGTGGACGCAACTCCCTGTCCCACGCACCACCGCATCTCGCACACCCACACCCAGCATCTTCACGCTGCGCGCCGCTCTACGAACCCGGCACCAAAAAATTAAAATCAAAATCCTCGATCCTGCTGCTTGGTCGCATTGCGCCTGCGCCTGCGCCTGACATCTGCCGGTCGCTCGATGGCCCAGCCGCACGCTGCGTGCTGAAACCGCCCGCCATGTCCACCGACGACATCGACGCAGCCGTCTCGGCGTCTGAGCCTCTCCCTGTCGACACGCGGGATGGCATCGACGACCAGATCGAATGTGCCAAGGTGCCCTTGCAGCCCGCCTTCTTGCACTCGCCGCCGGATAGCAACGATGCCGGCAAGTCAGAGGCCAGCGACTCGGAGCTGAGCGACCTTGAGGACGAGCCGCCGCTGGAGGATGCGCCGATGCTGCCCCCGGATCTCGCTGCTCAAGAGGACGATATTGGTGACATCGAGCCGGACCACTGGTCGTCCGGCAACGTGCCCATTTTCAAACCGACCATGGAGCAGTTCAAGGATTTCAAGCGATTCGTATGTCGGCAGCCACCCGAGTCGTAATTGACCCCTGTTTGCTAACCGCTGGGCCTTGGCCAAACAGATGACAAAAGTCGACAAGTATGGAATGAAGTCTGGAATCATCAAAGTCATTCCGCCAAAGGAGTGGAAAGATGCACAGCCACAACTCGACGATCTCGTAAAGCAGGTCCGAGTCCGCGAGCCAATCAAACAGGACATCATGGGTTCGAACGGCACTTACCGCCAAGTTAATATACTCCATGGACGCTCTTACAACATACCGCAGTGGAGACAACTTTGCGAACAGAGCGAGCACCAGCCTCCTGCACGGCGCGGCGAGAGACGCGCGAATGCGGATAAGCCCAAGCCCGTGCGATCTCGCCCTGCTGCCCCCAAGGCTGCGAATGCTAATCCCACGCCAAGGACTCGTGGACGAGGACGGCCGCCCAAGAATAAGGGCAAGGCCAAACGGGATGAAGAGAGCCGGCCTATGACTCCGGTGTCCCCAAGGGTCGAAGCTGACGGTGCAGCAGACGAGGTGATGGAGTCTATCGAACCGATAAAGGAACTGGGCACCGAGATGGACTACGATGACGATGAGCAGCCTACAGTCCGCAGAATGGGCGGAATCAAACCAAGCAAGCCAAAGATCCAATCCACTTCAGCACGCCGAAAATACAGCCGCCGCGAAGGATCTGCAGTCATTGATGAGGCTGCGTTCAAAGATTTCGACTACCGGATGGATATTTCCGATTATACGCCTGAGCGCTGCGAAGAACTGGAGCGAGTCTATTGGAAAACGTTGACTTATGCCCAACCGCTATATGGTGCTGACTTGATGGGCACGTTGTTCGACGATAGGACCGAGAATTGGAATCTCAACAAACTGCCAAATCTCTTGGATGTTCTTGGCACCAAGGTCCCCGGTGTCAATACTGCATATCTCTACCTTGGAATGTGGAAGGCGACTTTTGCCTGGCATCTTGAAGATGTCGACTTGTACAGCATCAATTTTCTTCACTTTGGCGCTCCAAAACAATGGTACAGCATTTCTCAGGCTGACGCCCGAAAATTTGAGGCTGCTATGAAGAGCATCTGGCCCGCCGATGCCAAAGCTTGTGATCAATTCCTCAGACACAAGGCTTTCCTCATCTCGCCGCAACACCTTCAGCAACACTATGGCATCAAGGTCAACCGAGTTGTCTCTTACCCCGGCGAGTTTGTTGTCACGTATCCCTATGGATATCATTCCGGCTACAATCTGGGATACAACTGCGCCGAAGCAGTAAATTTTGCCCTCGACTCCTGGCTTGAGATGGGCAAAATTGCCAAGAAGTGTGAATGCGCCCAAGCTCAAGACAGCGTGTGGGTAAATGTATACGAGATTGAGCGGAAGCTACGCGGAGAAGAAACTGAATACGAAGAGACAGAGGACGACGACGATGAAGACGACGACGATGATGATGAGCTTTCTGGGCTTCCCACTCCTCCTGGTCACGCTGTGAAATTTAGGGATGCCAATCGAAAGAGGAAGCGCGGCAAAGTAGACAAGGGGGCCAAGACCAAGGTTAAGAAGATCAGATTACGACTCAAAGTCAAGGCTGAGCCGCCTTGCTGTCTGTGCCCCAACGACATCCCTAGTCTAGAGTTTCTTCCTACAGACGACGGCAGGAAAGCTCATCGCCTCTGCGCCCTCTACATTCCTGAGACATACATTGACACAGTTGACGGCAAAGAAACTGTATTCAATGTTTCTTCTATACACAAAGACCGGCTGGATCTTAAATGCTTATTTTGTCGATCAAAACGTGGGGCTTGCTTCCAATGCTCCCAGAAGAAATGCACGAGGGCGTACCACGCTACGTGCGCAGCAGCGGCTGGAGCATTTACTGAAGAGCAAGAAGTCCCGGTCTTTGGTGAAGACGGGACGGAATACAAAGAACAGGCCTTTGAATTCAGCTGTCGCTTCCACCGTGCCAAGCGCGATAAGAAGCTGGATGGTGATGCCTTGGAAGAAGACTCTCGTATCTTGAAGGCCGCTGAGGCCCTTGAGAAAGGAGAGATTTGTCAGCTGCAATATCACAAGGGCGAAATCTTTGCTGGAGTCGTGGTGGACAATCGACCAGATGAGCGAATGCTGCTGGTTGATGTACTTCCAAACGGTGATCGGATGGAAGTCGAGTGGAAATGGCTCCTGCTTCCAGACCCGTCTGATTATCACTTGCCCAAGGCGTCAGCAAATGCCATCCCGCTGCCATCCTCTCAAAAGGCAAAAGATAAGCTCAATGCCAAGCGCCAGCAAGGCGATGACAAGCCTCGGAAAGATGATACCTTTGTCGAAGGCGGCTTTACCTGGGCAGAATTTCACACTGGCGAGATTGCGAACAAGGAGCAGGCAAAGACCGATTTTACCAAGCAAGATCAGATCTGGTATTATCTCGGCAAGACATCGACCGAAGCCAGAGCGCAGTATACCGAGGATCCAGCAATCCCACGATACAACACCAAGAGCAACTACTTGGATACGCTCCCAAAGCCCCCCAAACTTGCGCCTGTGCGACAGGTATATCAACAGAGAGCCTACGGGCTATATGGCCCTACTGCTACGAGTTATTCGGGCTTGGAAAAGCCTTATGTCTACCAGCCGAGAACTTCTACAGGGTCGACGTACTACCACCCCGGCACATACTCATTCCAAGCAGCCAATGCTGTTGCTCCCACTATTCAAGGGTATCAGCCGTATACGGTACAGCGATTTGAACCAATGGTTGGAACAGGTGGAAAGTTTCAGGCTTACACGGCGCCGCCGCCGCCGCCGCCACCTGCGCAGCCATCACATTTCTATTCCACGCCATCGGTAGGAGGCCAGAAGCCTGCTCCACCAGCACAGGTCTCTCACCAATATAGTAAGCCTACCTGGCAGGTTCACTCATCAGTATACCAAAAGTATCCTTTTTTCCAAGTAAATCACAACAGGCAAGTCTCTTTCTTCATCATAATGATGTAGTGAGTTTAGCTAACAGGTTTCAAAGGGATGCGTCGAAATACAGAACTCCGTATTCACCCTGGGGCGGGTTTACCAACGGCTACGAAGGCGATTTGAGAGCACATTTGCTCGCAAACCAGAACGATCTCCTCCGGCGAGCCTCTTTGGCGGCCATGTCTCCAGTTGGCTCCGCGAGGCCATACCAGACTTCACCTACGACAGCCGTCTCGTCTGGGGCAACGGCAATCTCTACAACACCACAGCAGACGACCACTTCACTACCTCCGCCAATACTAGGGACCGCCAGCCATCAGTATCATCCTGCGATCAAGGCTCAGTACAGGAATATGGCCCAGCAGCCCAGCAAGCCCAAGCCAGCCCCCGCGCCCAAGTCGTTCAAGGTTGGCTTACCCGCAGCTATCAGTCTGTCCCTGAAGTCGACTAAATCCGCAATGCAGGTTCCACCTAAGCAGTCTCCAGTTCCCTTACCGGCAGGCTTCTTAGCTGCTATGGCCTCGTCGCCCGGTACCCCTTTGCAGTCCTCTCCCAAACCTTCGCCAGCTCAGCCGTCCAGTCCCAAGGCCGGGTCTCCCAATGCCAAATCGGCCTTGACATCCTCGTCATCAACATCTCTCCGTGGGTCAGCAACGCCTGTGGGATCGGCATCCAAAGCGCCACAACAACCGCAAAGAATATCAGTCACCCCGGTGCCACTCCCCAGGTTTTCCATGTTGCCTCAGGAGAGTAAGGCAGGGACGACACTTCCGCCAGCGAAGCCCGAATCATCGAATTTGCCGCAGGCCAAGGGACCTAATGGCCCGGAAGTCGGCGTGCCTGGAGCTACTACGCCGAAAGCAGAGGCTACTACGGAAGAAGCAGCAGTACCGAGTATTGAAACCCCATTTAACACCAATAATGTAATTCCAGACATGAAGCAATCTGCGGCTTTACTAACGCCGTCTTCTACGATTAATCAACAGACCCTGGCTGATCGCCCTCCTCAGCCCCATACCGCGCATACCACGATGCATCACCAACCTGAAGGATTCCCTGACGTTCCAGGCTGCGAATCAATGGAGTTTGTCGAGCGGATGATGGAGAATTTGAGGAGAGCCTCTCAGCGACGAAGTACAAGCTGAGAAGAAGGATAGTGTTCCTCTCGACTAGGTTTTCCCTTTCGATTTTTTTCTCTTTTTCCTTTTTTTTCCAGGCATACCCATGGTGCTCCTTTTTATTTCTAGTACGCATGTACAACTAGGTATTTTTCTTCTTTTACCTCTGCTTTTTTTTTTCTTCTCATTACCTAGGGGCATTAGTTTGGCGAGATAAAACATGATTCGACAATATTTTACGTATCAAGTCATTAACGACACGATCGATGGGCGAAACTCGTGGATTTTTTTCGATTTGTTTTCTTTTGGTTGGAGAAAGAGAGAGTTCATTTTTCCTTGATTGATGAAAATATCGCGAATTGGGAACGGGGAGTAAAATGGCGATTTGGTTCAAGGGCTCAGTATTAGACGCAAGTGGCATTCGCTATCTGTTGTTGTTGGAAGTACGCGGCGAAAGACGGAAAGACGGAGGAAATTTTTTTGATGACTCTTGAGGGTGGTTTTATGCTTCCCTGGTGTTTATTAAGGGAAGAAGGATAGGGCGTGAGGGAAATGTGGTGATGTTTCTTTTTTAAGTGTATCATTATAATCACATATCGCAGGGGGTCCGTCAGACGATAAATATGATTGTTAATTTGGCTTTTTGTTTTGGAACTTTTTGCAATCAAGCACGTACTATAAATATGTACTTTACTTACCTACCTACCTATCCAACGTGAAATAATACTTCCTTTGGGTGGACTTGAATAACTCTTGGATTTTGGAATTTATTGCTGTTAACTGACGTGAAACAAATACTGCTTTGGGTACACTAGAATAGCACTTGAAAGATCGTTTGTTCATCAAAGAGACTACTTGTTCAGGCGTTGGGTATGTTCCCCATTCAACAGTTTACCCAACAGCCAACAAGCTGTCTTTTTTCCAATATAAACGTACCAGCTTTGTTATAAGAGATTTTGTTGCTAGTTTTTTTTTTTTTCTTTGGAAGCTATAGCTGACATGGATGTGCTTGAGACGAAAATTTCCTGCTGAGGCTGTGTGCTACACCTAATAGCGTAGAGAGAGCACCGAGGCACTCTTGCTTTTGGGGGGGGGGGGGGGGGGGCAGTGTATTGCCCGGGCGTTTGCAGTTTGTTTTGAAACCTTGGCTGCACGTATTTATGTCCCCCTTCTTCGCTCTTTTTTCCCTGCCTCTTTATTTCTCTTCAGCCTCTTCTTTTTTGATGAATTTCATCAACTTCATACGCACCATCACATCGTGTAACATTGGCAACGCTTGGCTCACGTCTTCTTTAGATGTTTCTCCTTTCTTCTTCTTTGATTTGACGATATCTCAAATCTTTTCATCTTGCTCTCTCATCTTCTTCTGTGTAACCCATCGTGCAGAGCAAAATTGTCCGACGGTCTTCTTATCATGGGCAACAACTCCCCTCCTGAGGGAACGTGGTTCTCGCAAGGCATAACCCCGGATACTAATCTCAATACCTTTGACACGTGGAATGAGAAAGACGAGATACATTCGGAAGTGCATAAGCGCAACTTTGCTTCGGACAAGTACCTTCGTGGCAGTGTCTTGGGTCAGGGAGGATGGTCTACTGTGTACAAGATCCAGAGAGTTGAAGATGGAAAGCTCCTGGCTGGCAAGGCATCCACGTCGGTTAGCCAGCTTTATAAAGAGACAAAGATGCTTCGCAAGTTATCTCACGTAAGTTTTTTTTTTTTCCCCCTTTCCATTGTTTAAAGTTTTCTTTGTTCTCAGTACGAGTAAGAGCAAAAAAAAAAAACAGTCAGTACACTCAACTAACTGCTCTCATTTTCATTCAGAAACACATTTTGGAGTTTATTGAGCTTTACAAAGAGCTAGACAAAGAAGACGCTACTCTTCTAATCACCGAGCTCTGTACTCAAGGAACCCTTCATATGCGTATCAACCACGCTCCTGGCGGTATGGGCAAAGAAGAAATCCTTCTAGCCACCAGCCAGATATCAGATGCGCTCGCCTACCTCCATGGAAGAGGTTATTTTCATTCAGACATCAAGCCGAGAAACATCCTCGTCCGCCGTCTTGACCCCATCAGCGTAGCGTTGGCGGACTGCGCTGACTGCAAGATTCATGATTCGTACCGTGGCCGCCCTGGCGGCACGCCCAACTACTGGTCACCAGAGATGACGGCCAATAATCGCCATGCAGGCAAAAGTGACGATGTCTGGGCCCTGGGCATCAGCCTGCTAGGAATGACTGGCCAGTGGCCGCAATGCGAGAAGACCAAGGCCGGGTTTGCGAGATACCCGCGACAATGCGCAAACCACGCGCAGCAGCTTCAGAAGCTGAATCCCAGAAACAAAATGGTCAATTTGTTGGTGAGACTGCTCGCTTGGAGAGCTAGAGAGCGTATCACGGCGGACAAGTGCTATGAGGTGACGACTCGCCTTCTTGAAGAGACAAAGGGACAAGAGGAGAGCGTTGGCACGGAGGGACTGCGAATCAAGTCGCCTGAGCAATTTCGGCCGATTTCGTTTTGGTAAAGGGTTTCGTGGATTTTTGTGCTTTGTAAAGTCATGGTGAAGTTGTTATGATGAGAAACTGGATTGTTGGCTTGTTGTTGATGGTACGAGATAAGTTGAGGTGGTCATCTCGAGGTCATACCAATGCATATATGCACTCTGATTAGGTGTTGGCATAGGGAGAAAGGAAAGTTATATGTAGATGTAGTACTCCGTATAAGGTGCAATATCGTGGCACTGATCTCATGGCCAACTTTCTTTTGCATTTTCTTAGAGATATGAAGTCTTCATACGTATCTATATAGCATTATGTAGACATTGTATCACACACAGCATCATCGCCACCTATCTGTACAATATTAGGGTAGCTCAGCTGCTAGAGCTGGCTGCATGTGCTGCAGTAGGCACATTCTCCTGCTACATCAATCAAGCCAATGCAATTAATTGCATACCCGAGTACCAAGACCCCTCGATGCACCCTTTATGCCCTGACTACTGCAAGAGCTCAATCGTATACCTGGTATCCGTAGATATCCGGCTGGTGATCAATCTTCATCTTCACGGGAACTGACGCCATCGCCTAGATCCTTTGGTGGTCCCGCAGCCCCCCTTAGTCAGCGACCTGCTGCTTTCAGTGCCTGTGTAGCCCTCGTGCAGCTTAAGCCGATGTCGCAACCGGTCATTCTCGCCCTTTGAGTGTCATCAAGCATTGCTGGCAGAGCGGAATTGTCTGTTCAGTAACCGAGAGCCCGAATTCCAGCGTCCAGCATCTCGGCTCTGCAATCCTGCGTGGCTACAGGCGGCATATAAGCGACAAAAAAGATCAAGGCCTAAAAGGAGGGGTGGTGATAAGGCCAAGTCCGAGCACTTCTTTTTTTCTTCTCCATATACCAATCAATCGCATCACCGGCTACTGCGTTAGCTCTTTTTGCCGAAGGGGACAAAAAAAGCGGGCGCGCGTCTTTCAATGTCTTTTTCTGCTCTTCGAATCCCTTCTCTTGTGACTTTTCGAAACCAAATCGCCCTCGCCGCTGGGAGAAGAGAGCCTGTGGCGCATACCGTCAGAACTTATTCCGCCATGAGTGGCAGCCTGAAGCTGAAGCCCGCGGCGCGGGTCGAGGGCCAGAAGCAAGATGTGTGGTAAGTTGTTGTGAGTGCATGTGCATGGACATGTATGAGTTTGTTTTGAAGAATATGAGCCATGCTTGGAGACTGAGACACCCAATGCTGAGACGAGAGCGGTCCAGGTCCATCATCAACGAGGCGGCTGCTGCGTCGCCCAAACAGCCCATCGTCAACATGGGCCAGGGCTTCTTCGGATACAACCCGCCCAAGTTCATCCTCGACGCAGCCAAAGATGCGCTCGACCGGGTGGAATGCAACCAGTACTCTCCCACTAAGGGCAGGCCCAGGCTAAAGCAGGCCATTGCCGACGCCTACTCGCCCTTTTGGGGACGCAAGATTGACCCTGAAACCGAGGTGACCATTACGACGGGCGCCAACGAGGGTGAGTGAGCCTGGACGAAGTCAAGGTGGTGTTGCGAGGATTGCAGCTGGCTTTCTAACATTGGCGGGCGATTATAGGCATGCTGAGTGCTTTCATGGCTTTCATTGAGCCTGGTGATGAGGTCATCATCTTTGAGCCCTTCTTTGACCAGTATGTGCAACTCATCAACATCATTTGTGTCGTGTCAAGAGTTGCTTACACTGGGGAATAGGTACATTAGCAACATTGAGATGCCCGGCGGCAAGATTGTCTATGTGCCCCTGCACCCTCCTGCCACGGGAGCCGTCAAGACGTCTTCGGCAGCCGACTGGACCATTGACTTTGATGAGCTAGAGAGAGCCATTACCCCCAAGACAAAGATGATTGTTCTCAACACTCCCCGTGAGTTTGCTTCTACTGATTCACGAAAAGATGGGCGTCGCTGATATTGGTCACTCTTGCAGACAACCCTGTTGGCAAAGTCTTCTCCAAGGAGGAGCTGCAGAAGGTTGGCGACCTGTGTGTGAAGCATGAGATCATTATTCTCTCCGATGAGGTGTATGATCGTCTGTTCTACGTACCCTTTACCAGAATCTCGACCCTGTCCCCCGAGATCGAGCAGCTGACTATCACGGTTGGTTCTGCTGGCAAGAACTTTTATGCTACTGGGTGGCGTGTTGGTATGATACAAGCATCTCTATACATGGTTAGCTCTGACGAGGACTCTCAATCGCTAATACGACTTCTCTTAGGCTGGCTGATGGGCCCCGAGCATCTCATCAAATACGTTTCCGCAGCACACACGCGCATCTGCTACTCATCCGTCTCGCCCTTGCAAGAAGCCTGCGCCGTCGGATTCGAAAAGGCCGATGCCGAAGGCTTCTGGGACGAGACCGTCCGAGACATGAAGGCCAAGATGAACCTTTTCAACGAGGTCTGGGACGAGCTGGGCCTCCCATACTCCGAACCCGAGGGCGGCTACTTTGTTCTGGTCAACATGGCGAAAGTGCAGCTGCCAGAGGACTACCCTTTCCCCGCGCACGTGGCAAGCCGGCCGAGAGACTTCCAGCTGGCGTGGTTCTTGATCCACGAGGTTGGCGTTGCGGCCATCCCGCCGACGGAGTTTTATACAGATGAGAATGCGCACATGGCGGAGGATTACTTGCGGTTTGCGGTGTGCAAGGAGGATTCGGTGTTGGAGGAGGCCAAGAATAGACTGCGGGGGCTGAAGAAGTATATGAAATAGATGTGACAAAATACAACGCTTCCAAGTATATCTGGATGAAAGCAAGGCTGATGGGGTTTGGAAGAGAGAACTTGTTACAATAGATTTCCTTTCTCACACGGGAAATATCATCGAAATTACAGGACCCAGGTAGTATCGTGAGCTTGGATATCTGACTCCCTATAACCGGATACTATCTGGTTCTCCATGACCGCATTATGAGAGAGTCATAGGCCGTTGATTGTTGAAATCAACCAAGCCGTGCAAAAAAATAAAAATTTACACTACCCGAAAATTTCCTCACCGTTAATTTATACTTTATTATTTACTTGAGATGTGACAAGAGCCTCAAATTCGCTCCCCCTCCATCAACATCGACAGTGGAACTACCCGATGGGTGGAGCGCCCTTTCAGCAGCGGAGCCGGCCGAAGCGCGCTTTGCTCCAGCGGGGGAAGATGCCAGTGAGGGGCGATAGCGATCTCCAAGATGGAGGCTATCCGATGCTTTCAATGGCTCCAGTAGCGTCTTTGCTGTTATTAATCAATTACGTAGCGCAGAGCTTTTGCTTACTCGAGGTAAGCTTATGTGGCCGACGAGATAAAATAGTATTTTTCCGGCGTATACTGCTACTGTTACCGGATACTTTATAGTTTGCTGGGGCTGAGTTGTCACAACCACTTGGTTGGCCTCGAGGTAGAGTTGTATGAGAGAAGAGGCAAAACAGGACCTGTATCGCAGACAGGGATACTTTGTACCGAGGTGGGTGGTATCGGCACAGCCCAGTGCAAAGTATCAGCCTAGACGGATCGTGCATGTTTCACGCACATGTTGCCTCCGCCTAGGATCAGCCTCATTGGCTCGTGTATGTACTGTGCCCTTATCTACATGAATGTACCACTTGCTTGGCTACCTATGCGGAGGCACTCCATATCGTATAATATGGGGTAGCGGCCGATGCGGTTGGGCAGCCCTGCGCCATTCTCGGCCACGGGACCTGGATTCTGGCCGTACCTTGGGAAATATATACTTGGACTTGGGTACCACCGCCTCTTTTCAGGAACTCGACAATCCGTATCGCCACCTGGGACAACTGCGCTTGGACATTCCTACCGGTGAGCGCATAGCACGATCAGGTTGACAAAGACAATATTCCAAGCGATGCTGTATTGGTTTGAGTTGGATTGTTCTACCATTGGCTGATTCTCTGCATTTCTCATCATCTTCTGCATCTCATTCTTCTCTGGTTTGCCATGTGCTAGCGTTCCTTCATTAACTCCCCTCTTCCTCTTCAATCTTATTTCCTCTCCTCAAATCATCGCGATGGCACCCATTGCGATATCCCCCGAACGAGACGGGCAGTTGGACACGCTGGCGGATCTGACTGCCAAGTTCGACGACACTATTCGCTTCTACCTCAACGGAACCAAAGTCGTTCTCGACGAAATCGACCCTGAGATTACAGTCCTGGAGTACCTGAGAGGAATTGGACTGACAGGAACCAAGCTGTACGATAAAACACTTCGTTTCCGCCGTTTCATGTCAATTTGAGGCTCATCAATGAAGCAAAACTGACAAATTCTCTAATTAATAGTGGCTGCGGCGAAGGGGGCTGCGGTGCTTGCACAATTGTTGTGAGCCAGTACAACCCCACCACCAAGAAAATCTATCACGCGAGTGTAAATGCCTGTCTCGCACCTCTTGTAAGTCTCGACGGCAAACATGTCGTCACCATTGAGGGCATTGGCAACACAAAGAGCCCGCATCCCACACAAGAACGCGTGGCCAAATCTCATGGCAGCCAATGCGGTTTCTGCACGCCCGGAATTGTCATGAGCTTGTATGCCTTGCTGCGAAACAATTCGAACCCCACGCAACATGAGGTGGAGGAAGCCTTTGACGGTAACTTGTGTCGTTGCACGGGGTACAGGTCTATCCTAGACGCAGCCAACACCTTCAGCGCCGAGAATTCATGCGGCAAAGCCAAAACCAACGGCGGCGGCGGCGGCTGCTGTATGGAAAATGGGAGTGGCAAGCCTGCAGGAGGATGCTGTATGGACAAAAAGAACAATGACCAACCGATCAAACGATTCACGCCTCCAGGATTCATCGAGTATAATCCGGATACCGAGCTCATCTTCCCCCCTTCTTTGAAGAGGCATGAGTTACGGCCTCTCGCTTTCGGCAACAAGAGGAAGAAGTGGTTTCGACCCGTCACTCTGGAGCAGCTTCTCCAGATTAAGAGTGTGCACCCACAAGCCAAGATTATTGGAGGAAGTACCGAGACGCAGATCGAGATCAAGTTCAAAGCG